TACGAGAAACTCGGTTTTCTCCCACGCCATAGTTCGTATGGTGTGCTCTCGACAGCTTTAGATGGAACTCTGTTGAGTGTGTGTGCTGCTGTTTTCAATGCATATCCCCAAAATGATTCTGGCAATGTTGTCAGACTAATCATGCTCCGGACCATGTCAAGCAAAGTCCGATTTCTCCTCTCAGACACTCCATTTAACTGAGGTGTCCCCGGAGGAGTGAGTTGGGATAAAATCCCATGCTCTTTCAGATAGCCATCGAATTCCAGGCTTAAGTATTCACCTCCTCGATCCGAGCGGAGGGTCTTAATACTTTTGCCTAATTGTTTTTCTACTTCGTTTTTGAATTCTTTGAATTTGTCAAAGCATTCCGATTTGTGTTTCATGAGATACACATATCCATATCTACTAAGGTCGTCAGTAAATGTAACGAAGTAAGAATAACCACCTCTAGCTACAGTTCTAATTGGACCACAGACATCGGAGTGTATGAGGCCCAATAAGTCACTCGCCCTTTCACCGTGACCGGTGAATGGAGCCTTTGTCATTTTACCAAGTAAACAAGATTTACATACATCATATGACTCGAACTCAAATGAATCAAGTACACCAGAACGATGTAACTTAGATATGCGTTTCTCATTAATGTGGCCCAAACGACAATGCCATAGGTACGCGAGATTCAAACTGTTAGGTTTGTTTCTCTTAATATCTACGTTATATACTGCGGTATCCATGTCGAGGACATAGAGACCGTTGGTCATTTTTGCAGTTGCATAAAATATTTCATTTCTAAAGACAGAAAGAGTTTTGTCTTGTACAACGAACGAAAATCCTGCTTTGTCAAGGCAGGATACAGAAATGATGTTTCTGCTCATACTGGGTACAAACAGACAATTATTTAACTACAATACAAGACCACTAGGTAGAGATAAACTATAGGTTCCGACGGCTAATGCATTTACGAGTGCGCCATTGCCGACTTTTAGTTGTATCTCTCCCTCCGTCAATTGTCTACGTTCATGCAGATCCTGCATAGAAGTACAGATGTGAGAATCACATCTAGTATCCATCACCCAAGAGGTGATATCCGACATATTGACTTTAATAACGAAGATACCTGAGGTTTGAGGTTTCTTTCCCTCTTTCCTCTCTGCCAGTAATTTTGCGCAGTTGCGCCTCCAGTGGCCCTTTTTGCCACAATAATAGCATACAGCAGACTTCTTCTTAGCTCCTTCTTTGGGTTTCAACGAAGAGGAGTTGGACGCTGCTTGGGTTTCTTAGAACCCTTGCGCTTGGTCCCGGCCGGCGAACGTGGCCCACTCTTCTTCGCAATAGTACTGCCCTCTACCATCAGGACAGACTTACCCTTGCCCTTCCCTAGACTCTCCTCAGCAGTTGTGAGGAATTTCAGTAGCTCAGGCATAGTCATCTCTAGTTTGTTCATGTAGAAGTTCACTACAGTTTGACTATACTCAGCTGGTAATGATCCCAAGATGAGATCAGTTGCAAGCATAGGGTGCAATGGGGCGTCCAGTTTTTCAAGAGTTTCGATCTGACCGATCATCTTGAGAACGTGGGGACCAACTGGTTACCCGTTGCCAGCTTACTGGAAAATAGAGTCGTAGAGATTTTGAAATGCTCATGTCTAGCCTGGCCTTGGTATAGACCTTTCAAGCGAATCATCATAGGATGAGCTTCCATGTCCTTATGGAGCCTTTGGAGCTCCGGAGTCATGGTGGCTAGCATGAGACATCTCACATCACGTGCGTCATCTTCATACTTCTTGTACGAAGTAATTTCTGCAGCACGGGCGTTCGCTTCAGGAGCTTTGGGAGGCTCAGAGGTAAGGATGTAGAGCTTTTTCTCGCATTCAAGAAAATCTTAAGATTCATCTCCCAATCAAGAAAGTTGGTTCCAGATAATTTTTCCTTTTCTAGAACATATCGCAAGTTGAAAGGGTTGTTGTTGTTTGCCATCTACAGAAAATTTTGCAAACTAGGTTATCTATCATGTTTAATAATTAATTAGGCCTTTAATTAATTATCTCCCACTATTTTTAACAAATCAATAACCCTCGATATTGATTCGGAGATTTCCGGCGAAACCTCTAGTGGGCCAAGATCCATATTTCATTATCTTGCGTTCCGCTTGGGCGTTACTCCACAAGACAACTATTTAGGTAGGAACATAGTTCCAACTGATGAGCCGGGCTCTCAGCTCTTGGTCTGGTGTTGGGCGAACAATATTACTACAACCGGACCAGGACACCTTTTCACCGTACTCGTAATTGGCTGAGGCACGTCTTACAAGCAGACTACTTTGGTTAGG